GGTCAGCAAAGAAAAGGACAAGAGGAGGGGAAAATGGGGGACAATATACATTGTGGGGAAAGGACTTAGTGAACAGTTGGTGCATTAGTTCATTCTTGATTGGCTTTCTCATGCCATTAGACTATGGCTAACTGATGGAGGGAGAATGTCTGTTGTCTTCACAATGGTGTACTTAGTGTTTGGGCTGGTGCAGGCATTTAGTAGTATCTCAGTAAAAATGGAGAACCAGCACATGGATGAAAGCACCAAGAGTGGAGAAGTAAGTCTTTCACATAGCCTGCCTAGAAAATAGAACTAAATGTGAATTTACAGCATGGGTTTGACACCTTTTTAAATAGTTCTTATTTGAAGAAATTACATTCTCAAATGTAAGTTCATCTTACGTCTACAGTTTGACACCATCAGATAGTTCTAGGACTCTTCTTCTAATAAAGTATTTTTACTGATAAAGCTGGTAATTCATTAGTATAAATATAGTATTAGTTCCTTTGTGTAGTATATATTTCTAAGGACATCAGTAGTAATGATGAGAGTATTTCAATGAACTAAAAAACCTGAAAGTGAGTTTTTCCTAATCCAGTTTTGTATCTGTCTCTGTGCCCTATAAATTTTTTCTTTACTTTCTTTTTCTCATTATTCTTTGGACAGTGTCTCAAATACTGTGATGTTAAAAGTTTGAAGCCTGTCATTATTACAAATTTTAATAGCTTGCCTTGAAATCTCTCAAAATAAATTTATACAGAAGAGTTGGCAAATTTCAAAGTTGCTCATGAGCACTATCTGACCACTTTTCAAATTTCTTAATATCTTAGCAATAAAAAGTTGGACGAGGAGAACTCAAGTAACCATAGTGCTACACCATCTTCTGAAACAATAATGGCATCGCATAATATAGATTAGCATTTTACCTGATAATGAATTTAGACCAAAATGAAAAAGATTCAGGTGGGCTTTGCATGGCATTAAATTAAGCATATACCTATACACTCTAACAATATACCTGCTGGTACATTTCAACCAGACCAGACATGACTAGGCCTGGTGTTTTAGACACTACAACCTAGTTAATAAGACAGATATAAAAAGTTCAAAATAAATGAAAATGGTTATGAGCCTTCATCTTGAGATCTAGACCCCAACAACCTAATCTAAATAAATATTAAGCAGAATATAAATAGTGGTTATAATAAAAAGTAGTTATAATAGTAAGTAGTTAATGTTTCATGGGTACTTTTTTCCTAGGCATTATGCTAAGCATTTTTCATATATTTATTAGATCTTCAAAACCACCATATGAGGTAGTAATAATTATTGTCTTCATTCTACAGATGAGGAAACTGATGGACAGAGAGAAGAGTTATAGCCCAAAATTCCAGGGATTAGACTTTAAAATAACCACTGTTCTAGAATATATGCAAAAACTTTTCTTGGCTTGACTGTAAATTCCTTGCCTGAATGCGTTTGGTTATATAAGCTGAATTATAGATGATAGGTGTAAGAAAAGCCACATTTAACCAAGGAGCAGAAACTAGATTCTGGAAATTCACTTAGGGTGATGATAAAATTAAGGCTTAATTATAAAAACACATGGAATTTCCAAGGCAATCTGCATTCTTCCCACAGGCCTGAGTCATTGAGGATTGGCCAAGGTGGGGAGACTTAGCTCCCCTGGGAACGATCCTCACAGAGCCAGAATGGAATGAGGTTTAGTTGTATGTCAGCCCTGGAGAGAGTCTTGATCTCTCTATGTGTCAAGGGCCTCTATGTCTTGATGAAAGGGGCCAAAAGTGATCACCAATGCCTTGACCTTGCTAAAGAAATTATAAAGAAGATAACATATTGTTAAATACCCAAAGTTAAATAAACAGGATAATGTATTTTACAGTAAGCAGCAGGTAAAATAAGAATAGCCTCAAGACTAAAATAGGTTGTAATTTATTAAAAGAATGTACTAAAAGTTGATGGTGGAATAAACACAGTAAGAAGATGAGCCTCCCACCAGAGGCCAAAGCGACAGTGACTTGGGGCCTCTCTTTGGGAGTTGGTGGAGTTGAATCTTTGTGGACCAATACCTCTGGGATTCCTGTAGACTAAAACATGCATATCTTTATATGTATATACTTGTCTAAAAATACTTTTATAGTATTGCTGGGTCTGATCCTAAGTACTTTACAAAAACTAATTTGTCAACATGATATTATGAGGTAGGTACTGTTATTATCACCCCCATTTACAGATGCAAAAGCTAAGGCATGGACAGGCTAAATTTTTTGTCCTAGGTCACAGAACCAGGAAATGGGAATCGAACTCAGGCTAGCTTCTTTCACTCATTCTTAAACATTATGCAGTGTAAGGAGGAAATGTGGGAGTGGGAATTTGGTCAGCAGCATTCATGTTGGTTTTCACATACTCCTAAAGTATCACCAGAGATGGTAAAATTTTCAACACAAAATATCGAGTCTCAATGAGCTCCAGTTTGAGAATAATGAAATCAGACACTCCATAAAATGAACGTCATAGCTTTTGAGGTCTTAAATTGCTAAGTAGTCTTTGTTAAGAAAAAGTGTAAACACACACAGACACACACCCATACAGAAGCTTATGTAGGTATAGAATTTACAGTTATGTTTAAAGAAACTATGGATGATTTCTTCAATTGTAAAATTTGCTCATGAACAGAGAAACAGGAACAAAACCCGAGGTTAAATTGTATCATTTTCTTTTTTGGATTGCTAAACCATGATTTGCAAAGTCCTCATTAGTAAGATGACAGCAAGGATCATGAAGGAAGGAAGAAACATTGCCTAGGTCCTTAAAGCCTGTGAACATGGTAAGCCTTTCATAAATGGTGTAGGTTAGCATGGTGGAATGGAATTCAAAGTCTAGAAGTATTCTAGTAGGAAAAGATAAGCTTTTAAAATACAGTCTGATTCAAAACCAAAGGATCATTAATTCAATATTGTTTTGTCTTTCTATTTTACATTCATTATGTATTATACAGTTAGCCGCTTGCCTTACAGTTGGCAGCTCCTTAAAACCATTCAAAGACATGCACATTCAAATTAATGTTTGTTGGAAAACTACATTCCTTCCACATGAGATGGCAAAGTCTCTCCTAATTCTTCACCAGAGCCTCAGTTTGAAATACAATACAGAAATATCCAGGCAGCCAATAGGTCTGATGAAATTTTTTCGTTTAGAGAAAGACTGTTTGAATCACAGGTAGGTAAAAGACACCCAGTATACAAACAAGTGAGCTCCTCTATCATGTTTATTTAAGTGCCTCCTGTTTGTCAGTACTGCAGACACAATGATATACCACAGACACTTGTTCATGCTTTCATGGTACTCGTGGCCTAATCAGAGAGAGATGGCCAGTCAAATGATTGGGGCATATAATTGGGTATATAAATTACAAGCAAAGGGTATATAATTACAAGCAGAGGCCAATGGTACAAAGAAAATAGTTCTCTGTATAAGTAAAGAAGCTGGCCTAGACTTGAGGCTGCTTCTAAGAAGCAGAGGAAAATCATTCCATACAGAAGAAAACAAAAGTAAAGAAATATTGCATGTATTAAAGGTTCTGTGGCTGAATGAACACAACATCTTCAAGACCTAAAGGACTGTCCATATGGATGGTGGCCTGGGGAGAAGGGTGGGGGAAAAGTGATGGCAAATTAGTCTGAAAAAGTTGGTAGGGGGTAGACCACATGGGACCTTGTAGACTCCATTAAGGATGGGGATTTTACCCTCTGATCAATGGGAAGACATAGTTATTGAACACAATGATTGAATAAATATATCATCGGATTTCCACTGACACAAAAGGCCATGGCATCTATTCATTTTTTTAATATAATTGAAATTTTATGAATGAACAAATATATTCATTTATTTATTGCTTTACCAGGGTATGACTAAAAAAAAAAACTGTATAAATTCAGGTTCATACAACATGATCCTTTTTGAGGCATACAATGTGATGATTTAATATATGTATACTTGAAAAATGATTACCGCATCAAGTTAATTAATGCATCCATCACCTCACATTTAATATAACCTTTAGAAGTCATGCAAAAGGCAAACATATCTAAATATATAAGGGTGGGGCTCCAGATCACAAAAGAGGGCACTTCATAAACACAACTGGACCAAGGCAAGTTGTCTATAGTTTTCTCCTTACTGATCTTACAATTCCCCACGCCCTTCCACCAACATCTTTTCAAGTTTATAACCAAGGCAGTAATTTAACACACTGCACAATAAGTGAATAGTTGTTTACTGATTTTTCAAGGGAGCCAAAGGAGACAAGGACAGTTATGGAGACACCATCCACACCACAAATAACACAAATGTCAGGATGTTTTTGCCCTATTAGCAATTTGTCAACATAAAAGAGTCAGCATCACTAGATCTTGGGTCCTTGCCGTCAGTGTTTTGTAAATCAGAGCTAAGCAAGAAAAACTTACTTTTCAGGGCAACTTAACTCACTACTTTGTAGGTATGGTGAAGGTGAATAGTAATAATAATAATAATACAACAAAAGGGGCATATATTAACCTAACTTTCAAAGGTGCCAGAGTCTTTGTGTAGCAAGAAATCATGTAGTATTAATTCTTCTGTGCATATATAGAAAATAAAAAATAACCACCCTTACTCAAGATCACAGATTTCTGTGATTTTCACATCTTTGTTCTGATCAAAAGTACTTCAACTCTGATTACCAGTATGAACTTCTATGTAGGAGACTTCTCCAGGGCAGGCATGCACATGGATTCACCCAAAAGCATTCGATCAATTAATATACGCAAAAAATCTCCAATAAATGTGCCAAGTTATTATACCAACTTCCTTTTTATTTTCTTAATGAAAAGGCCCTAGAGATGGCTATGCTTTCTCTCCTAGCCAAAGTCATTCTTGATGTCATGTGTTAAGTATTCAGACTTCCTTTGCAGTCATTTTATTTGTAATAGTGTCTTGTGTGTTGTGTCTCCTAGCTCTACATACAAACTACCACACTTACAATCTCCATGAACCTAAGTGCGTCAGTGGCTCTGGGGATGCTATACATGCCGAAAGTGTACATCATCATTTTCCACCCTGAACTCAATGTCCAGAAGCGGAAGCGAAGCTTCAAGGCGGTAGTCACGGCAGCCACCATGTCATCGCGGCTGTCACACAAACCCAGTGACAGACCCAACGGTGAGGCAAAGACAGAACTCTGTGAAAACGTAGACCCAAACAGTAAGTAACTTTCCTTTCCTTTCAACTTCCCTTCCTACATCAGGAAGCTCTAGGAACTGTGGTATGAGTTTGCCTTTCTTTGGAGAGATATGGTGTCCATTTTTGTCTTAATGGAGTGATTTTCTGGGTGAATGCTAACCTCTGCTCTTAAGAGTTTGTCTTATTCTTGCCCGATTTCACTTTTACTCCCTGTGGGAAAAAAGCTTTTAGAAGCTCTGCTTCTGAAGTGTGAAATCTCCTCCTTCCTTCAACCTCATTGGTACCAAACCCTCCAATTGACAGAAACATACCTGTTGGGTTGTGACCCACCTTTCCAGGTCTCCTCATGTTAGGGGAACAACTTCCCAGTAGGGAAGCTTTAACACCTGATTGAATTGTAGCAAAGTGAATAAAATTGGAATATTTAATAACTTAGGAAGCAAAACTTCTTTACACTGGAACATGAATGTAGAGAAAGTTATCCTTTACTAAGCAAGCTTTCTAGAAACAAGAAAACACCCAAGTATACAGGCTGAAGACCACCATGGTCGTGACATCCCCACATGGGAAAGACATTTACTGTGCCACCGCAGCAGAGTTTCATTCCATGAAGGACAGAATATTAGGGAGGAGATTAAAGGTGAAATGTCACATCTGATATGCTACATTGCTTATCTGCAACCCCTGGGTAGCCTCTAGTCACCCCTGCCAATGACTCCAAAAAGATGGACATACACATACCACTTGTATGCAAGAAAACAAGACCGCTTTAACTAGAGGTTAAACACATAGAATTCCCACTTGTCAATTTTACTAATAATATGGTGAGAAGAGTGCATTTTAAATTAAAAACACTACTTCCAGGATTTGTTTTCTAGGAATGAGTTGACCAGTTCCAAATACAATGTGGCAGATTCAAGTGTTCATAATACTTTGTTTTAAAAAGTAGAGGGGGATTCAGGTCATCCATTAAATCCTTCAAGACATTTTTCAGTTATGAACTCATTTTGTCATAGACAAAGACTTCTCACCAAGCAGAAAGGAATCCCTATTCTAAAGACTCTGAGGTAATCCTTTATACTCTGCAAGTAAGAAAGAGATCTTTTAAGAGCAGGAGGCAACAGAGTTTGTTCCTGACAAATACTGTGCTAAGATCCATGATCTTGGCTCCTCTCCATTTCTAAGCAGTTGGCTGAGTGAATATTGTGAAACTCATTGAGAATATGTAGACAGGGTTACAAAGTCTTGTTAATAATATTGTGGGCTTCACTTGGACCTTTTAATAGAAAGGATTCTGGGACAAGACAAGAGGAAGGGCAAAGACCACACCGAAAGAAAGGAGAAACAGAATGAATGTATAGCCTCTGCTCTTGTGTCTTCAGAGCAAATGGTGAATTGAGAGGAGGGAAAGTGGAGAGTGAATCCTGTGGTATTTGACATGATGTTGGAAGAGGCTCTGGGTTGAGACAGACCTGGTTTCAAATCCCAACCACTCCACTTCCCAGCTGTGTGGCTTTTAGAATCACTGAGCTATCCTAAAGCTCAGCACCTTCGTGTTTTAAATGGAGATACTAATATTTATGTCATAAGTGTGTCATAACGTTATGCTTCTAGAAAATAATATATCAGTTGTGACTGTGCTTTTTTATTCCTTAAAAGGCAGAAAAGTGCATTTTAATGTGATTGGTTATGTGGATGTGATGGTAGAGTTCAGGTCTGTATGGAGGTAGATGCAGCTGATGCCCAAAAAGAAACATTTCCATGAAAATATATGCATAAGCATCTATTTTTATGCATACTTGTGTTGATAAATATACCTGCACATTTATACTTCTGTAGTGTTTCATTCTAGACCCCTTGCTAGACTTGCATTTTATTAAACCTTTATCCTAAAGACATTCCATTAAGTATTTTACATTTATATCTGAGCATGTGCACACATACGCATGCACAGAATTTAACTAGATATGCCCCAAAATTAATAAGCAGAAAATATGGTCAAAAGTCTGTACATATTGAAAAAAAAAATGACCACGTTAGAAGTTTTGAATTTGGACAATTCAGTACTTTGCTACTTAAAAATAGCTTTCAAACAACATTTCTACTACTATTAATTTTAATGATTATGTTCTATCCTTGCGGCAGCTATTTTGGATACAGTAATGGTTGTAAAATGCTAATACTAACACTAATACTGACACTCGTACTAGTAGTAACACTAATACTACTAATAATATTGCATCAGCTAACCTTTGAAATAAGCATTATCCAAAGTGCTTTGTGTGCAAGATCTCTTACCCTTACAGTACCTCTGTACGAGAATTGTTCTTTTTACTGAAGAAACCCAGGCTTAGTGAGATTAAGTGCCATTACCAAAATCACACATCTAGTTAGCAGTGGAGGTTGGACTGAAACCCAGGTCTGACTCCCAAATCCACGCCTACTTCTCTCTGCTGTTCTGTTCCTTAGAATGTGTCATATCATACTTCCAAAATAGAAATTACTCTTTTGGCTTCCTCAACTGATGATTTAGGTTGCATATAAGGCATATAATGATGTGTGTTTCAGACTCTTTAGTTAAATGTGCTGGGAAATGTATTATTGTTGCTGTGTTGTCATAAAGATAGCTGTAACTTGAGCTCAAAGAAGGCTGCCCAGGTAGAGGCCTCATCTTACTTACTCAAAAATTTATATAACTTATCATTTATGCCAGTCATGACAACTATTCCATTTGGAATTCATTTGGTGCCTTCCCATGAAAAAGTTTTGTTGGGTTTTGTCAATGATATTTTCGTGTCTACACAGAGCAAAAATAAACATTTCAGGGGAAAAATGAAATCAAATAGAGTCCTTGTCTTATAAGCAGTCCAAAACAATTTAAAAATTGTCTTAGTTCATTTGGTTTTGTGTAGACACTCCCTAAAATACCACAAGTAATTTGAATAGATATTTGCCTAACCATAGGAGGAGATTCATGTACCTCCAAACATTGGCGTCTCTGTTGACCCAGCTTCCAAAGGTCCCCCTCAAAAATCAAAAGAGTTTATCCAAACAAAATCTTCCCAAAAGAACCTTCTGTAGTGGTAGAAATGTTCTAGTCACATGTGGCCAGTTAGCACTTGAGATATGGTTACTTAATTGAGGAAAAAGTGTTGTTTATTTTAAATAATTTCACTCAAAATAGCCATCTGTGTTTGTGGCTACTCTATGAGAAAGCTCATCTCTAGAAATTAATATGTCTTAACAGGCAAGGATTTTATCTAGGGCACGTATTGGAAATGTCTCCCAACGTTTTAGCAGTGATGGTGACCGGGGATAAAGTCAGCTTAAAGGGATGAAACATTTGAGATGAGACAAAAATACAAGTAGTTATTTTCAAATGATCCAGAAGAGCATCTAATCCAGAAATAGTGGTATCCTAGATAGTCATTTTATTCAGAAAATCAGTCCTGAGTAATGCAAAACTGTATGCATATAGGCAAAAAGCAGTAATGAAAAATTCAATTCATGAAAATAAACAGTAAGACTACCTGATGTGAGGGAATATTACTATATTCTATTAATATCAAATATGGCTCAAGTATTCTCAAATTCCTGAACTTCGGTAGCAGAGACAGAGGAATTATTTGCTGAAATTAAGCTGTCTGGTGAAAAAAGAAACAAAAGCACACACCATGTACTCGAAAAAGCAATGTGTCTTTCCAAAGGGAAAATTCTGTACACTATTCTCTGAGGGAGGGTATCTGAGAGAAAGTTGGGTTTATAGGATGAGCTCGAAGTAAATAATGAAACACCAGTGTCCCCTTATTCGTTGTTGCTCTAAACACTTAGTCTCAATGTATTTCAACCTTTAGTGTTCTCGTTTTTAACAGCTCTGCTCCATCATTGCAGCTTGCCATCTGGTGCATGCACGCTTCTACTCATCTACTGCAACTACATGTCCACATAACAACGAATTTGCTTGTTGGCTTACTATGGGCAAAAATTACAACTGCCCCAACACTGCCTGAGTTTTCCCCCAGGAAGCTCAGTTTTCCTCTTAGGTTGCTTCTTCTGTCAAAATGTCATTGCTTAAAAGAAAAACTTCTGTGTGGAATGCACAAAAAGTAAATCTTAAAATTTTAACGTATCTGTACACTACTACTACTGGCGTTAGATATTCAGCATTGGGCAAGTGCTAGTTGCCTTCTGTATCGGGATTGAAAAACAGTAGGATGTCTAAGGGCTTAGCTCAGCTACTTGTTGAATTATTATGTATACAAACAAGATTTCTATTGCTAGAGGGTCAGAAGAGCCTGACCTACTTCAGACAGCTTTAGATCTAGCCACCATGATGCCTTCTCAACATTCCTTTCTAAAAAGAAGGGCACCTTGAGCTCTGGTTCTCGCATCTGCATCCTGAATTCAGCACATTTCCCCACACTTTCTATTGCTGACTTGGTAGCTGTCTGTTCATGGCAAACGTGTAGATGCCAAATAAATAAGAGGACCTGTTGTGCTTGGGACATGGTTTATCGATGGCTGCTAGGACCCTTTTGCAGTTGGATGAACGGTATTAACTGAGGCAGTATGTCTTTATTGGGATGGGTGGATAAAAACTGCTGCCTTCCTCAGCTGGACTGGTTAGAAACAGAAGATACTCTTTGAATTATCTTCAGGCCAGATGCTCTCCTTGTAAAGAATCGCAGTGCATAGCGATGAGTAGCCCTAAGCTACCTTTGTCCTAAACTACCATCCATTTTCTAAGCCAATGTCCCCAGGTAGTGCAGACAAAGTCCTCAAATACCTGCATGGGTGGCAGATAGCTTAGACTCTGAAAGGTCAGTAGCAACTAGAGATGTCAGGCAGGTGGACAGCTTGGGTCCCCCTTTCTAGGATGTGGGAATGTATGATTAACTGACTGACACAGAGGCTAGACCTACACTAGACCTGTGAGTACACTGTATGATGAAGCATAGTTTAGAAGAATAATTTGTACCTAAAATAGAAAATCTAAAATAAGTTATTTTAAATATAAGTTTGTATTCTGATGCTGGGGTGTTTTTTTTTTCATTTTTTACTATCATTTTTACACCTACTATAAGGAAAACATACATGAAAACTTGTGCTGTTCTCAAAGAAGGTAATTATTACATAAAATAGTTGAACTGTTAACATAAGAAGACATTTGATTAAAAAAATATATATATATATATTTCTGGAAAATGGATGTAGTTACCAAATCTACATAAGTCATAGTGCCTAGAAAACTCTGGAACACGCTCCTGTGCTGTGTTAATTTGTTATAGTTTTTGTTTTGTTTTGCTTCTTCATTTATTTGGATCTCTAACATTCTCAACATTATGCTATTCGTTTCATCCTGCCAGACTAACCATGCAGGCTGGTCAGCATGGCTGGACTAGGCTAAGGAGGGGGGAAAGGGCGGGGGCAAAAGGAAGAAAGGAAAGTTCTGACCAGATAGATAACTTACTTGGGACCTGGTTCCCTCAACTGCTACAGCTCAAGCAACTAAAACCCGATTGCCTTAAATCAAGACTCCCATGTTCAGAGGTACCTGAATTGTGGTGAACTGGTCTACCAAAGGCTATTGAATGCACTGAAAGAGTGAGCATAATGTCTATGGTCTCTATCGCAGCCTCTTCTCCAAAAGGGAAAAAATAAAATAAAGGAATATTGTGTGTACATTTATTTTATACATACCTATATATTTACTTTTCCTGTAGACTGTATACCACCAGTAAGAAAGAGTGTACAAAAGTCTGTTACTTGGTACACTATCCCACCAACAGTATAGCTTTTGCCTGCTTTCTAAAAGGTAAGAAACAATCTAATTTTTATTTATTTGTATGTTCTTGTCTCTACTGAGAAAGGAAGTCTTTCTATGAAAACTGTGCATGATTACCTGTAAATCTATTTACATGACGAAACGTGTTTTCAAAGATGATCTGTTTGCTAAGCATAGTGCAGACAGCTGCTATGGCCCACATGCTTGGTTTCTTTTCTGGAGAACATGCATGTGGGTGTGTGTACATTTGTCTTTTCTTTTCTTTTCTTTTTTTTTTTTTAAGGTTTATTTATTTATTTATTTGACAGACAGAGATCACAAGCAGGCAGAGAGACAGGCAGAGAGAGAGGAGGAAGCAGGCTCCCCGCTGAGCAGAGAGCCCAATGTGGGGCTCGATCCCAGGACCCTGGGATCATGACCTGAGCCGAAGGCAGAGGCTTTAACCCACTGAGCCACCCAGGCGCCCCTACATTTGTCTTTTCTAATCAGGTAGCCGACAGTGGTGGAGTTGGTGTGGGTCACTCTGGTCTACTTTAAAATGACCGATGGTGAGAGATTATTTTTAAATGTATGTTGTCTTGTTCTGGTTTTTAGAAGGCAATGTGGAAACTTACAGGGAACAAGGGGGGGGGTGTTTTACAAGCCTAGCAAAAATATTTGTTCAGCTTTATTTTTAGTAAATATATTCCCAGTAATGTATTCATTCAAAAAACAATGAATGGGGGGCGCCTGGGTGGCTCAGTGGGTTAAGCCGCTGCTTTCGGCTCAGGTCATGATCTCAGGGTCCTGGGATCGAGTCCCGCATCGGGCTCTCTGCTCAGTAGGGAGCCTGCTTCCCTCTCTCCCTCTCCGCCTGCCTCTTTGTC